TTGGTGGTCGAAATAATTAAATCATTAATTTTTACTTAATCAATTGAATCATCTTTACGATAATGATTGAATGAAAAATTATATACAAAATACATAAGCGTTTAGATCGATTGAACCATCTATTGTCGGTTTAACAATATTTTTGTATTGACAAAAGATATTCCGACATAACTTAGGATAAAAACAATTATTGGGCGGTATCCGATAATTAAGTAGAATGTTGTTATCTTTTGAAGTTTTGGATTTTAGTTGTTACGAACTCATATACTTGGGTTGCGCCATCGGAGCAAACGTGGTTGATTTCTCACCATTGATTCATCTTTATGGGTTTGGAAATTAATTTATGAGCTCAACTTTTAGTTGAGTTGAGTGTTGCCCAACAACAAAATAATACCTAAAATTGAGAGTGAACTTTAACTAAAAGTTGTTGACAAAATAAATCAAACTATCTCGATAATAATAAAAATATTAATTTTTTAAAAAAAATAAGTTTGATTTATAACGTTTGTAAAGTGTGTATTACTAATAATTGAAAAATATTTTAAATATATACTATCTTGTAATCACCTTGAATTATTAAAAAAATTAAAAGTGGTTGATTTAGCTCTATATTTAATTCTATAGTTAATTGCACTACATGTCTCTAAATTACTCCATAAACTTTTGAATATTCTAAATTCATCTCCAAACCATGACATTCAATCTAAATTGGTCCTCAAACTTTTGGATGCCATAATAACATCCTCTTAAATCATTGAGAAGTTCGGTGATGAAAATAGAGCATTCAAAATTTGAGGATCAATATAGAATGAGGGTTACGATATGATGAAGAATTTGGAATGTTTAAAAGTCTATAGACCAATTTAGAACAGTAGCCATAATTTAGGGGTGGGATTATAATGTTTAAAAGTTTAGAGACCAAATTATAATAAAGTCATAGTTCAAGAATGTGTGATATAATTAACTCTTAATTTTAAAATAGATTAATCACCCAGACTATTAAAAAATAATTAAAAACTAAAATTTAATCAAAATACTATTTAGCTAACCATTAGCAATTTTAGTTTTTTTAATAGTCTAAGAGAATAGTTTCACTTAAATAGTTTGTAATTTTATTTTTCGGGGGGAAAGTGGTATAATAATTTGCGTTGACTTTGATGGTTGGGATATTGACTTTGTGCCTCTTATTTGGTAGAAAGGGCTGGTTGATTAGGATAGCTAACCAAGCTGAGCTAAGCCAAGCTGGTATTTTGGTGAGTGCTTCAAATCTTCAATCCTCATCTTGACCATGTCTCCACCTACTTTTTCCAACCCCAATTGCCCATGGCCCGCCGTCCCTCTGTTAATTCTAAGCAAATCCTCCCTAAATCCACACCTTTTTTTTATCTCGGTCAAATTCTTCTACGAGTCCCTGGACTATACATAAGTTGTGAGTTTAGTTTTTGTCTTCTGATATGGTTATTTGTAGTCCTTGTATTTTTAAATCATGAGATTTAATTTCTGACCTAAACAGTAGTTGTTTTATAAATTAAGTCAAATTCTGTTAGTATCCTTATATTATTTGTAAGTTATATATTTAGATCATGTCTTTCAAATTTATCATTCTAAATCTTAGTGATTTAGTCATATTGTTCGTGTATTATATCATTTGGATCATGATTAGAATTTTAAAATTCAAAAAATGCAAAGATCAAATTTTGTAAAATTAAGATACAAGGACTAAATTTACAATTTATATATAACACAAATACTAATGACGGAATTCAACTTTTTATTTTTTTTACAATATCAATTATTATTTTGCGCATTTTAGAATATTTTTTTCTTTTTCCTTTTATAGCGGATGTCTCATGGACGGCATCCTTAATATACGGCTAAAAAATGCACTACCGAAAATATTAATATTTTTTTAATATTTTCAGTAAAGTGCTACATAAAACATTATTATTTTTAACCGGAAATGTTAATTTTGGGCGTTACCTAAAATGTTTATCTTTTCCGGTAAAATACTACCTAAAATATTATTTTTTTCTACTAGAAATATTAATATTGAACACTACCTAAAATATTTTTTTACCAAAAATTAGGCAGCGAAATTAACATTTCCGATAAAAAAATAATATTTTAAGTAACATTTTATCAAAAATATTAACATTTCTGATAAAATATTTCCTTAACCATATATTAAAGATGTCGTACATCGTAATTACCTTTTTATAGTGTTTTAATCATTTTTACTTATCGAAATTCAGAACTACCCCTTTTATAGTGTTTTAATCATTTTTAATTATCGAAATTCAGGGCTTCGTAGTCTAACCTATTCATTACGCCAAAGGTTTTAAATGGCAGTTAGGTATTTAAGCCGAACCCTTGACATTTTTTTTAATATTAGTTGATCTAAATAGAATATAAATCATCAATTATCGATTTTTAATTTATTAATTGATAGATTAACATTGAATGATGCTTTCTTTATTTTATTTTTTATTTATAATATTGTAATTTAAAATTTTAAGTTTATTTAAAATTATAATGTTTTATCATAATAAATCAATTGATAATTAATGAATCATCAATTTTTAAATATTAATATTAGGTGTACTAAATATAAGGTTGGATATAATAAAATAATTCTAAAATAGTGTAACTATCACGTCTTGTAATTTTAAGGTCAGGTTTCGATATCAAGTAATTAAAATTAAAAGTAAATTTAATTTGTTTAAATTATATATATTAGTTTTAAAATCTTTTTTATTAATACGAAGTAAGTACAATATAATATTTGTTCAAAGATAATTTTCAATCGTTTGAGATTGAATGCTCATATAATCGTACTTCCATCATTCATGATGTTTAAACCCGAAATAACAATAACTCATTTACTACCGATATCACTTTATTTATGCTTTTATTTTTTTTAATAATATTATATGTTTTCATTAATAAGAAAAGAGATGGGCACCTGATTTGTTATATTCAGACTATTTTAAAATTATAATACATCATAAAATATAAACTATGATAAAAATAGTATAAATAATTATATTATAACCCAAACGCTATAAATTATTTAAAATGATTATGTCAAATATAATTAAATATGACTCAAGTATCTAATTGAAGTATAATAGCTTTTCGTCGATTATTTGAACATAATTCGATTTTGAGATAAAAATTTACACTCGATTAGATTCGATCTGACTACGTATATCTATAATTCTTATTTTTATTAACTAAATATGGACATAATTGAAAAATATAAATAGAGAAGTATTATAATAATTATCTCTAAATATATAAAGGTTAATCACATTATTATTTTCTTGTAGATTAGTTTTCATCTTAAATCCGAACTCGGCCTGATCTTATTCTTCAAAAATTGAATCAAAAATTAAAAAATTTAACTTTATAAGATCAATTCGAAATTCATTAAATTCGAGTTAAATACTCATCTCTAAACACAATTCAAATAAATAATTTATCAACTCAACAATAATAAACATTAATATTTAAATTTAGAATTTTTAATTACATGATATTGTGAGATTATATCATGTCATTACGTGAAAACTTTAAGAATATTAATATTTTTAACAAATAATATGATATCAATTTATACTATTATATTATAAAAAATAATTTAATGACCAAATTAAAAAAAACCTGTTAAATCACAAGACTAATACAAATTATGAATCAAGGATCAAATAAAAAAACTATATTTATGAGTTATTTCACTTATTCATAAAAATCATTTTTATTTAAATATTATAGGTAAACTACTTATTAATCAATTTTGTTTTTATACAATTTTTCTCGTTTAATTGAAAAAATTATAAGATTTGGTTACTTTTATTTTTATTTAATTAAAATGTGATCATTGAGACTTAACTGTCGTCAGACTTTTAACAGAATGTTAACTTGACACGGTGAATATATAAAATTAAAAAAGATAAATTACACAAATGATCACTAATATTCATAATTTTGTTGTTTTCTCCACGGAAGTTTTAAAAATAACAAATAACAGTGTTGACTTCACTTGTAATGCTTGTGTGATATTTGAAGAAAGTGAGAAAGAATTACAATTTAACTGTTATGCATCATTTGAATGAGACTTGAGCATTCGATTTGGTTAAGGAAATATATATAGGATTGTAGCTTCCAGGGTGCCTTTGATGCTCCAGTAGCAATCAACATGAGATGCAGCAGCAAGGCGAGGATTGTGATGCTGCTATACTTCTCCGGTCAGATCAGCATCGGCAGGTGCTATTTCGTCTTCGGAGACTGTTGATTTTTCATGATAGCTCATTTGGGGATGCGGCAGAGGATAATTATAATTTATAGGAGTGATCATGTGTCAAAGGAGCCTTAATCGAAGATGATTGTGGCTCATTATGAATATGTATTGTGTTATCATACACCCGTCTATGAAAATTAATTCAAAGCCATAGCCGCAGCTAAGTATTTCGGTGCAGTTTCACATCGGTTAAGATTATTATCATATATATATATATATATATATATATATATACTATAAAATGATTCAACTAATTTGTTATTTTTGAAATTTCAGCGAAATAAACAAAAATTTATTTAAATATTAGTGATTATTTGTATAATTTAACATTTTTAATGTTATATTCGTTGTGTCATGTCAATAATCTATTAAAAATTTAACGACAATTAACTTTCAATGATAGTATTTTAATTAAATAAAAATAAAAATAATCAAATCTTATTTTTTTAAAATATTATTAAAAAACATACAAAACTTAAATAAAGGGGTTAGGCTTATAGTTTATCCAATATTATATTAATAAAATGATAAGTAAAATCATATTCATACTGCGAAGAAATTTTCAAAACCCCCAGATTTTCTCGATTGACCAGTCACCCCTCGCTTTGTCATTTTCTTTTCTCTTTTTTCTTTCTTTCTTTCTTCCTCGGCTCACTCCACCTTCATCCGCCCGCCAACCCCGCAACGACGGCGACCTAGTTTACCTTGCTCTTTGAATTCTTTCTGATTATGGGAAACTGTAACGCATGCGTAAGACCGGACGAGAGTCCGGAAAGTAAACCGAACCGGTCTGACCAGAAGGGGAAGGGAAAGAAAAAGGCCCGGGAAAGGAAACCGAACCCGTTCGCCGAGAGAGTTGCCTCGCCGGCTCCCATCCGAGTATTAAAAGACGTGATCCCACTGAGTCACCGAACTCGAATTTTCGATAAGTACATCCTCGGCCGCGAGCTGGGGCGAGGCGAGTTCGGGATCACTTACCTCTGTACGGACAGGGAAACGCGGGAAGCCATCGCGAGCAAGTCAATCTCCAAGAAGAAACTCCGGACAGCAGTAGATATCGAAGACGTCCGCCGCGAGGTCGCCATAATGTCGACGTTGCCGGAACATCCGAATATCGTGAAGCTGAAAGCGACATACGAGGACAATGAAAACGTTCATTTGGTTATGGAGCTTTGTGAAGGTGGTGAATTATTCGACAGGATTGTAGCGAGAGGGCACTACACGGAACGCGCGGCGGCGAACGTGGCGAAGACGATAGCGGAGGTGGTTAGGATGTGCCACGAGAGTGGCGTTATGCATCGTGTGTGTGTGTGTATGTGTGTGTGTGTGTGTGTGTGTGTGTGTGTGTGTGTGTGTGTGTGTCTCTGTGTGTGTGTGTGTGTGTGTGTCTGTATGTATGTATGTATGTATGTATGTATGTATGTATGTATGTGTGTATGTATGTGTGTATGTATGTATGTGTGTATGTATGTATGTATGTATGTATGTATGTATGTATGTATGTATGTATGTATGTATGTATGTATGTATGTATGTATGTATGTATGTATGTATGTATGTATGTATGTATGTATGTATGTATGTATGTATGTATGTGTGTATGTATGTATGTATGTATGTATGTATGTATGTATGTATGTATGTATGTATGTATGTATGTATGTATGTATGTATGTATGTATGTATGTATGTATGTATGTATGTATGTATGTATTCTGCTTGCTTAGCTTTGTGTTGCTTATTTTCAGAGACTGAACAGGGTGTTGCTCTTGCGATTTTGAGAGGGGTCATTGATTTTAAGAGGGAACCTTGGCCGCAAGTTTCAGATAGCGCTAAGAGTCTTGTAAGGCAGATGTTAGAACCGGATCCTAAGAAACGATTGACTGCTCAACAGGTGCTCGGTAGGTTCTCCGACAGTTCTTATCGTGTTGAATTTTCTGTTAGTAAGCAATTGGCATATTTAGCTAAAAAGCATTTTGATAGCATTTGAGGACCCATCTGCCTAAACATTGTGAATTATTGTTATAAAGAGTGAGGTCAGGGTGATCTTGAAAGTATGGATCCCTTCCATAATGAATTTTAACCTTGTGCTAAGTGCTAACTTTATTCCCGTGGATCGATTGATTCTACAGCATTTGGCATCTGACAAGGACTCAACATTATTTACAATTGTGTGTGGTCAAATTCTGGCTGAGTCAAATGTTGACATATGTATACATTTTTCTAGTCAAAATTTTAGACAATCTTATTTTGAATTGATAAAGGAAATTTATTTTGAAGTGAGCCTAGTGGAGCACTACGATCCGTATTCAATGAGTTAGCCGGTAAAATTTCCGTTTGTTGTTGTTGGGGAAGGAAATATAACTTTTGAAATAAATTCCATTAAATGCATACTTGCATAGAGACCTTTACGTCTTCTTTTAATAGCTGTGTTGATTTTCGCTGTTTAATCTTGTGCTTGACCCTTCTTTTGGGCACAGAACATCCCTGGTTGCAAAATACGAAGAAAGCTCCGAATGTTCCATTGGGAGATATTGTGAGAGCCAGGCTTAAACAGTTTTCCGTGATGAATAGATTTAAAAAGAGGGCTTTAAGGGTAAGCACTTTTAAGCAGATTATGTGAAATTGTTGGTTAAAGATCCAAAATCATTGTGCTATTGTGCAATTTGCAAGTTCCTGCAGGTGATTCAGTTTTTGTAAATGCTGCAGGTAATCGCAGAGCACTTATCTGTAGAAGAGGTTGAAGTAATCAAAGACATGTTCACATTGATGGATACAGATAATGATGGGAAAGTTTCATACGAGGAGCTGAAGGCCGGGCTTCGGAAGGTTGGTTCTCAATTAGCTGAACCAGAGATGAAGATGTTAATGGAAGTGGTATGGTCCCTTTCTTTCGGCTGCTTAATTATCTGAAAGATCAAAACCTAATACGATACAATCATTATCTCTCTTTTCCCCCCTGATAATCTCATTTGACTCCCAAAAATTCAAATGTGCACTTGTGTTTCCTTTGTGTCGATCTATTTGTATCAGGCTGATGTTGATGGAAATGGAGTATTGGACTACGGGGAGTTTGTAGCAGTGACAATTCACTTGCAGAAGATGGAAAATGATGAGCATTTCCGCAGAGCATTTATGTTCTTTGACAAAGATGGGAGTGGATATATTGAACTGGATGAGTTACGGGATGCATTAGCTGATGAATCTGGTGAAACTGATGTTGATGCACTGAACGACATCATGCGTGAAGTTGACACCGACAAAGTATGATTTCCATTTCTTAATCAATTTCTCCTCTGTAAATCACTTTCAGTTTCATGATCCTGTTCATATTCTCCATATTCACTTTGGGGCATGATCTTGTTCAGAAATTCTGCAATGAAAAGAAAATAGGATCGTCTGGTTCCTATAGAACCTATCACTAAAATACCCCTAGAGAGATGGGGCTTAGCGGAGCGAAAAGGGTTTCCCATGAGTGGAAATGAAAACTATTAGCCCCGTGCGAAGTTTGTGAATGAGTGATTGTCTGATAATGGGCAAAGAATATCCGCCTATCGGCTGAATAGGACATATTGAACTCATAATTCGTTAGATACTGTTTATGAATGTCATCCATAACTTTGCATTTTTACCATATATTTTAATAGTTACCCCATTTTTCTCTTTGTCAACTTTCGATTACTCAGGATGGGCGAATCTCTTATGATGAATTCGTTGCCATGATGAAAGCTGGCACCGATTGGAGAAAGGCGTCAAGGCAGTATTCAAGAGAGAGGTTCAAGAGCTTGAGTCTTAACTTGATGAAAGACGGTTCCTTACATCTCCACGATGCAGTTACTGGCCAAGCTATCGCTGTTTGAGGTCACAGGAGGATCGATTGACTTTGTTATGCTTGTGCCTGCTCGATGATTCTCTCCCACCATTTGATGTCAATAAACGATCTATAACTGAAATGTACCACACCGGTTGCTTCACGGAATGGCATTTAGGTTCAAGCTTAACAGTGAGGTTTTCGGTGGAAGACAGTAATTCTTTCATAACATGTTTACATCACCGGCTTTGGCTGTTTTCTTCTTGCTGCTCTGCATGAAGTGTGCATCGATCAGTTAAAGTTGTCAGCTGCTACGTTAAGTGGATTATTCGTTCTTTCCTAGAGTTATCATACTCGATACATGTTCAGGTATGGACGTGAGTATGATTCTCCGAATTTAGCATATCGTTGTTGAATACTTGACACCCACATCCGAGTCCGAGTGACGTAGGTTAGATGTCGGTAGAATGCGAAGGGCACATCGGTATATGTATATGTATTTTTCATGTCTATGTTTGGTGATTGTTTTATTTTACTATTTTGTGCAGCATGTAGTGTAGATTGTCTTTGACAAATTACATTGTAAAAATGTTTCAAATCGTCGTTCCCCCCCCCCTTATGTTTTCCTTGTTTGTTCATCTATTTCTTCTTCTCGATTAGTCGTTGTTGTTTTCTTTTATAATGTCTCGTTGGTGTCAACTGCCTAGCGGTCGGGTCGGTTTAAAGTTTATGACGTGATTTAAATATTTGGGATTTATTGAATTATTTCGATTATAGTGAATGTGCAAGTTTTGAAGATTAAAACTATAATTATATCATTTCAGATAATTATTTTTGTTAAATCAGCGGTTGAATCTAATGACACGTGATCAAAATAGATATAAAATATAACATTAGGTATGATTTTTTAAAAATTATTAGATGATCAAAATAAAATATGAAAATAGGATGGTGATTAAATGAATAGTTTATCTTAATAGTTAAGGGTAGGGTAGGGGCAAAAGCTTTTTGCTTGAATTACAAATAAACTCTCAAACCCATTAAGCTGCGAGTGGCTTTTGGTGTGGTTAGGTCAATGTCGTGAAGCTTTTCAAAGTAATAGTCATTGCATGTTTTATTTATGGGTCTAAATTCAAATAATTTTTCCTCCACTTTTACGTTCTTCTTATGACACTGTTCTTCTGACATAATATATGCTTTTTAGTTATTGTATTAAATCATTATTGCCTTGACTGCTTAACATTATCATCATGTACAGAAAATAATTCTTTATGATAGCATATGTTATTTATTTATTATTTAGATAAATATTATATTATTAAATATTAGTAAACAATACTATCTTATCAAATACGTTTTTGATTTCTTTTATAAGTTTTATAATTTGTTATAGATTTTTAGATGTTTATATAGTGATAGAATCATTAAATCACGTATCACACGTATAGGACTTAACGATTTGTACCAAATTAGTCGACGAAGTAAACACACATGTACCAAATTGAAAGAAAAAAAAAAGTATTAAATTAATGGGGTAAACATACATGTACCAAATTGGAACAAAAAAAAATTAAGTATCAAATTTAGAGAAAGTGATAAATAGATGTCTTAAAGCTTAAAAAAGTTATGTTTGTTCCATTATGAAACGACATCCGTTTTCGCAGTTCCCACGTGTATATAATTGACTTGAAAGTCAAAATAAATTTGAAAGATAATAAACACACAACAAATTTTAATATAATAAAACCTTTTTTTATTAATTTAAAAAAGACTCGTAAACTTTTATCAAAATTTTAATTGACGGCTATTGTACGTTTTAACACACTTTAACTAATGTTTCATGCATGTTGTAATTATAACTATTGTAATTAAATTAAATTTTTAACTTTGAATATTACTATGTAACAAAATAATTATAAGTTTGTTTGCATAGAATAATTACACAATTTTATTATATTTATTTAGATTTAATAATATATTATTAAATTTTATTGTGTGATTTAAATAATAAAAAATATTATTCTTTTAGAAGATTCAAGATCTAACGACTATGTATATAAAATATATATTATCGTCTCATATAATTAGAAAAATAGCATGAATCACTATGACATCAGTAGTAAATGAATTGTTATTGTTATTTGAGGTTTGGGGTTCGAGCATCGACAATACCAATAGTACGAACGATTAATATCAAATAGTTGAGAGTTATCTTTAAACATATATTACTTTATATTTACCGTATATTAATAAAAAAAATATTACTTAGGAAAAAATCTAATATTGTGATCGATCTCCAGATCAGTTATTTTTAACCCTTTTTATGGATTTTTCCCCAAGAAGTTGTTTGAATTTCAATAGATACAACAACGGCTACACAGCAGCACTACTTTCTATGAAAATTTCAAAAAAGAGTCAGAGAACCCTCCATTTGTATTTATAAAATATTCAGGAAATGCTCTCTCTCTCTCTCTCTCTCGTGCTTCAAATAATTATTAAAACATTCCACTTCTTCACTCTCATCATTCACTTCCAAAACCCTTGTTTTTCTCACCCCCCAAAAAAAATCATAGTTCCTCTTTCAAAATACTTCCCGGACTCTTGTGCTGGAAGTTGAGCTGCAAAATGAAGGTGTTGGTTTGGTTTTCCTCTGTGGTTTTTGCAGCAGCTACCCTTTTGAGCTCCTGCTCTTTTGCTCTCACTGACGATGGTAATGGCGAAACCCCATTGCTGTTTTTGTTTTCTTTTTCTAATGAAAGTGTCTTTTTTCTCTTTTTTGGGGGAAAGCTCTAAACTTTCACAGATTTTTTCCTTCATTTTAAATGCTTAGTAATGGAGCTGAGCTCTCGGTTTCTTTGGTCTGGTTTGTTTTTAAAGGTCTAACATTGTTGGAGATCAAAAGCACATTGAATGACAGTGGAAACTATCTTGGAAACTGGTTACCAACTGACGAAACACCCTGCAATTGGACTGGCATTTCTTGCTTCCCCAATCTTCAAAGAGTTCGATCAATGTAAAATCACACACCCTTTTGTTTCTTTCATCATTTACTCCTCCATTTTTTCTTAGCTTTTACATATATGATTTGGTTTCCACAGCAACCTACCGTACATGCAACTAGGGGGGAAATACCTCCCAGCATCGGCAAACTCAACAGATTGCAAAGACTGTGAGTTCATTTCTTTAGTTTTTAAACTCAGGCTTTAGCCTAGTTAGTTCCCACTGTCGTCGTTAATAAGTCCGGGTTTCGAATCCTAACTTTGTCTTGTTTTTAACATTCTTAATGTTGGTAATACAGGGCATTGCACCAGAACAACTTACATGGACTGATTCCTAATGAAATTACAAATTGTATTCATTTGAGAGCTCTGTAAGCATAACATATTTTCATTTTTCTCACTTTTATTGGGGCAGTTAATTAGACTCATTTATATGTTTCGATTCACTGTCTGTGCAGTTACTTGAGAGCTAATTATCTTGAAGGTGGCATACCATCGAATATTGGAAGCCTTTCTCTTCTTACTGTAATGTAAGCTCCCTGAATATGCTATTGTTTGTTTAGTTACAGGGGATCAATGTGAATCGAAGGGTTGTTTTTTTGTTGACACTTCTGTTATTTGTAGGGATTTATCGAGCAATTTGCTGAAGGGTGCTATACCTTCGTCTATAGGCCGTCTTACAAGACTGCGTTACCTGTAAGTTCTCATCGAGTTATAGCTTGCCAAATGTAATTTGAGTTGTTTAACTGAAAGAAAAATGTTTCTTAAGCTTTTGATGGTTCCTCTTTGATGCAGCAATTTGTCCACCAACTTTTTCTCCGGTGAAATCCCAGATATCGGAGTGCTCAACACTTTCGGGAACAAGTCGTGAGTACCCTTGTCATTACTATGAACAACTTGTAGTATCTATGCTTTCTATTCATGCATTACTAACACCTACGCATGGGATTCAAAAGATGCATGAAACTGTAAGCATTCATAAATCTGCTACCTCATAAATATTAGCTTGTTCCGAATCTGAATCGTTCCTCCTTTATCTTCAGGTTTCTTGGTAATTTGAATCTATGCGGCCAACAAGTTCACAAGCCTTGTCGGACCTCACTGGGATTCCCGGCAGTCCTTCCTCATGCTGAAAGTGATGAAACCGAAGGCAAGTTTTGTTGCTAAGTCAAGCTTTAATTGCTATGTCTTAAAAGCTTTCATCATGTAATAATATGGGGGTTATTGTTTTTGATTTCCGCAGTCCAAACGAAGCGATCATCTCGTTATATTAAAGGTGTGCTGATCGGCGCAATGTCAACATTGGCTGTCATGCTTGTTGTTCTCCTTGCATTTCTCTGGATATGTTTACTATCAAAGAAGGAAAGGGATGCTAAGAAATATACAGAAGTCAAGAAACAAGTCCACAAAGACACAAGTAAGCTAAAATTTGGCTATTCTAGAGAAAGCCCTATCATTTTCAGCCTCTGCCCCGAATCTGAACGACTAACCCATTTTTTGTAGGTGCAAACTTATCACTTTTCATGGGGATCTGCCGTATCCATCATGCGAGATTATAGAAAAGCTAGAGTCCCTTGATGAAGAGGATGTTGTGGGGTCGGGGGGATTCGGAACTGTATATCGAATGGTGATGAATGATTGCGGTACATTTGCTGTTAAAAGAATAGACCGGAATCGTGAAGGATCTGATGAAGTCTTTGAGAGAGAGGTAGAGATCTTAGGCAGTATCAAACACATTAATTTAGTTAACCTACGAGGTTACTGCAGGTTGCCGACATCGAAACTTCTTATCTATGATTATCTTGCTATGGGCAGCTTGGATGACTTCCTTCATGGTCTGCTTTATCTAATGATATCTTATGCAATCATTAACACGATACTGATATTCTCGGTTTTAATCGCTTGCTTTTGCATGTCCTAATGCATTTTTAGAAAGCAAAGAAGCCAGGCCATTAAACTGGTGCGCTCGTTTAAAAATAGCCCTCGGTTCTGCTCGAGGTATCGCCTACTTGCACCATGATTGTTGTCCGAAGATAGTTCATCTAGACATAAAATCTAGCAACAT